CTCCGGCGTGTCCCGCCCGAACTCCTCCCAGAGCAGCTCCTGGGCCGATCCTTGGGAGACACCGAGGGGGGAAAGCTCCAGTTTTGGCTGCGTGTGCGGGTCCCCACCCCCGGCGGAGCAGGACTGGCCGCTGGGACTCCGACCCCTGATCCCGAATCTCCTTCTCTGTCTTTCTCGTCTCCCTTTCCTCGGGGTGATCATAAATCCCAGAGGGGCTGGAGAACCCCTTTCCCAGTCGTGGGTTTCCCAGGGAAGTGGGGGCAGGGGTATCCCAGTGTCCAGGAATGGGGGTTCAGAGGGGTCCCAGGGTCAAGGAACGGGGGGGGGCTGGGGGCTGGGAGAGGTGGGATGGCTGGGAAAGGGGTTGCAGGAGGTCCCAGAGCCAGATAAGGGGGTGCAGGGGCATCCTGGAGCTGGGGAAGGAGATGCAGGGATGTCTCGGTGCCCAGGAATGGGGATTCAAGGGGGTCCCAGGGTCCAGAAAATGGGGGGCTCCCAAAAGCCCTCCCTGGGAGGAGCAGGAGCTGGGTCAGGAGCTCTGTGGGGAGAGCAAAGAGGGTGACACCGGGATGGGGGGATGGTGTCCGATGGCAGCTCTGGGTCGGGGCGGGGAGCGGGATCCGGGAAACAACAGCGGCTGCCGGGAAGGGACCAGGATGGATTGGGACGGGATGGGATGGACTGGGGTGGGCTGGGATACCGGGATATGCTGGGACCAGGAGCAGGACCGAGCAGGACCAGAACTGAGGCAACAGGGATCATACTGGGAGCAACTGGGAACACATTGAGGGCTACTGCGAGCATGCTGGAGGCAACTGGAATATACTGGGAGTGACTGGGATCATAATGGTGGAAACTGGAACCTCACTGGGGTAACTGAGAGTGACTGGGAATGACTACGAGTGTGCTGAGGACTGTAAGTGGGATCTACTGGGAGTGTCTGTAACCATAGTGGGGGTGACTGGGACCACTGTGGGAGCAACTGGGACCATGCTGGGGGGAACTGGGAGCAACTGTGAGTGACTGGATCTACGATGGGGTAACTGGGATTGAGTGGGACCATGCTGGGGGAAGACTGGGATCATACTTGGATTGATTGGATCTATGCTAGGGGCAACTGGGAGCAACTGGGACCGTGCTGGGGGCAACTGGGATCAGACCAGGATCATACTGGGAGTGAATGCGTCAATGCAAGGGGCGACTGGGAGCAGCTGGAACCATGCTGGGGACAACTGGGATCATACTGGGATCATGGTGGGAGCAGCTTGGCTCATGCTAGGGACAACTGGGATCATATTGGGAGCAACTGGGACTAGACTGAGAGTGACTGGGCTCATACTGGGATCATACTGGCAGTGCCTAGGAACATGCTGTGAGTAGTTGGGATCGTGCTGGGGCAACTGGGATATACTGGGAGCAAGTGGGCTTATGCCAGAGGTGACTGGGAGCAACTAGGACCACCCTGGGGATGATGGAGAGTGGCTGTGAGCAACTGGGATCATGCTGAAAGCTACTGGGAGCAACTGGGAGTGACTGGGATCATGCTGGGAGTGACTAGGAGCATGCTGGGGATGCCTGGGATATACTGGGAGAGACTGGGACCATATAGGGAGTGTTTGGGATCATACTGGAATCATTCTGGGAGGGAGCATAGAGGCGTGAGAAAGAAATCATATTAGGATGTGAAACCATCTAGAGTATGGTACAATGTAACTTCATGGCACAAGCTCATTGTAAGGTCCATTGTGCTTTTTAGCAAGTCAGCTTGATATCCCCTATTATCAGAGCTGAGTTCTTCCTTGGTTTTGCTACATACTGCAAGATAGATACATCTACCCTTGAAACACAATGGGAGAGGTCATACATAGGGGTGAGAAAGATGATGATGGGAGGAAGATTATGTGGGCAGGGGTCGCTCGCCCCTTGCCCCACAGCAGGGCACGCACAGACTGTTGCCATTAGGTAATGATTAGGCGGTGTTTGGCTGCCATTCAGGCATCACCTTATACTACGTACTGGCCCTACGTAGTATAATGTGGAACTGATAAATATGGGGTGTCAGGATTGCTGAGCTGAGCGATGCTCATCCTACCACCGAGACTGTGTTGCTCCGCGGGGACGCCCGCTAAGCACAGGCACCGACCAGCTGCTGCAGATCCTGGTAGCCCTGGCCTGTCTGTGTGGGTAAGCACAGTTTTTTGATAGGAAGCAACCGAGAGAACAAACTTTGTAACTTTTTTATCCTTTTAGTGTCCCTTTAATTCCCCTTTATTATTGAATAAGTTGTTCATAGTATTTTCCCTTTAATTTCCCCTTTTACTAACCAATATCGTGTTAATAGTTATCCGTAATATTGTGTTAAGATCCCTTTTTTTGGTATCCCTTTTTATTAGTTAAGATTACACTGTATTGAATGCTGTTCGTAGTACTTGTTTTAAGACCACACGATAAGGTAGTTATTTTGTATCTCTTTAGTTTTTGGTTCTTTTCACTAAGTTTACTGTTATTATTACTATTCTCACTGTAATAAAGATATTTTGTGTGTTTGAATATCTGTGCACTTGTTTTATTCCGGGCATGTCTCGTAACGAACTGTTACAGTCCTCCAACAGGTGATGGAGTTGGAGCAGCAGATGAAGCTCCTACCAGAGTCGGGGCACTTGCAGGGCTCCCCTTACAGTGGGTCCCTTGGTGTGTGGTCAAGTTAGAGCTCTGGGTGAAGCTCTTCCCACACTCCCCACACTTGTAGGGCCTCTCCCCGGTGTGGATGCGCCGGTGGCTGACAAGGGTGGAGTTGCGTTTGAAGCCCTTCCCACAGTCAGTGCAGCGGAAGGGCCTCTCATCCGTGTGCGTCTGCTGGTGCTTGAGGAGATCCGAGCTGCTCCGAGACCTCTTCCCACACTCGAGACATTGGTAGGGCCGTTCCCCAGTGTGGGTCTGCTGGTGCTGGGTCAGGTGGGAGCTGGCGCGGAAGCTCTTCCCACATTCCGAGCACTTGTAGGGCTTCTCCCCCGTGTGCACGCGCTGGTGGGTGACGAGTTGAGAATTGTATGTGAAGCTTTTCTTGCATTCCCCACATTTGTAGGGTTGCTGCCCCTGTTCCCCAGTGTGGATCTGCTGGTGATGGATCAGGCGGGAGCTGACGGTGAAGCCCATCTCGCATTCCCCACACTCGTAGGGCTTCTCCCTCATGTGCACGCGCCGGTGGGTGACGAGTTGAGAATTGTATGTGAAGCTTTTCTTGCATTCCCCACATTTGTAGGGCCGGGGCCGCCCTTCCACAGTGTGGATCTGCTGGTGGCGGATCAGGTGGGAGCTGACGCTGAAGCTCATCCCGCATTCCAAGCACTTGTAGGGCTGTTCCCCTGTGTGCACCCGGTGGTGGGTGAGGAGGTGGGAGCGATGGATGAAGGTCTTCCCACATTCCTCACACTCGTAGGGCCGTTCCCCTGTATGCACTCGGCGGTGGATGAAGAGGTTGGAGCCAAACTTGAAGGTCTTCCCACATTCCTCACACTCGTAGGGCCGTTCCCCAGTGTGGACACGCTGGTGAACAAGGAGGTTGGAGCTG